ATGTGTAGTCCACATACAGTAAGTACAGCACATAATATCTGTTTTAGCCAATGGGGGCCGCCTTCGCTGCGCTCGGTAGCTTTTTAGCGAATCGAGGCCGCCTTCGCTGCGCTCGGCAGCCAGTAGAACGCGCGTATTTGCGTTACATTTTAGAACCCTACCCTCGGACGGACTGACAGACGCACACCAGACTCCACTAGGTGTGTAAGACTAGCCGTTCGCCGCCGCTACGCGGCGGAGTGGGCATGGTTTGTTGGAGATGAGGTGGCCGCAACCTTAGTGCTTCTTGGTGTCGCGTGTTTTGAGAGCGTGGTTCACCCCGTAGATCTTGGCATCGTGTATTTAACCAATTGCGTTTCCGTAGTCTCATTCGGCCCCGTATAATATCGTGGTTTGGAACATTTCTGTTACCCCGTACTACAGGTTGGGTGTTGTTTTCTTCAATGGCCCATGCTCTTTCGTGCTCTTCCCGGCTTCGAGGTTCCTGCTCACCCATGGCCCACGCTGCTCAGCGGTTCTGTCCTCTCTCTTGTGGGCTCATGCTCTTTAGTACGGTCTTTTCGTTAAAGCTACCTGTTTTCCGTTCTCAAACGTTTACGTGGGTTGCACTGGCTTCGTGGTAGATACTATTTCGTGACCGTTGGCCTCCCATCGCCGGTACTCTAACCAACGGGTGCTATTCCGTGCTTTGGTGCCTCCATGCAGTCGTGTGGTTCCATCGCCCGTGCATCGTGATCTCCTGATGAAGTGTCATCGACCGCGGTATCACGCTATCGTGCAATCGCGCTGTGGTTATGCTTTCTATGGTATTGTGCACGTGTAGTGCTTCTGCGTTGTACGTGTTATCGTGCTCTACGATGCCATCGTGCTCCACGGTGTGTAATCGTGGTCATACCAAGCCCACCCCCTGTGCATTTGGTGGGCGGTCCGCAGTCCGTGCAATCGTGTTATCATGTACTGCTGTCCTCCGTGGCTCGGTAAGCTCAGGTTCTACACTGGTATGGTGCTCCGTGACTCGGTGGTTTCGCGTGGCAGCGTGTTCTCCGATGGTTTAGTGGATAACCCACCGTCCATGCTGTCGTGTTATCTCTGGTGTCGGGGCTGGGCTGTCGTCTGTGTTATCGTTAGCTACCGTAGTGTCGCGCTCCGTGGATCGGTGAGCTCATGTTCTACCTAGGCATCGTGCTCCAAAAATTGATGATTTCTGATTTTCCGTATCTGATCTCCTGCGGGCTCAGGTTTGGTCGGTTGACTGTGCTCCATGTTTACCCGTGGTGTTGTTGGAGTATGGTTTCTGTGCACTCTCACCGATACGTGTTCTACCGTGGCTTCGAACGTCCGTGCTCTTCCGTAGCCCGTGCTTTTCAGCATGCTGGGGTGTCTATGTATTTAGTTCCCTTCCGTGGCCCGTACGTTCCTGTCATGTTCTCTCCATCTGTTCTTTTCATGGCTGCGTGCTCTTTCATCTTTCACGCTACTTATAAAACTTCGTGGTTTGCATCGGCTAAGTCTTCTATCATCGTCCATGGCCTTCCGTGCTTCGTGTTGCTCTTCTATCCCATCGTGTACATAGTGTAGGTCGGTATTCCTTCGTGTTTCGTGTCCTTGCTTAGACATGTGCATCCGCGCCAGCATAATCACAAACGCTGTTCCCATTTTGTTTGATGTACACAACGTATATTGTTTGATGTACACAACGTATATTGTTGGAAAGTTCACATAATATCTGAAGGTCGCACACTACGCGCGCAAATACAAAGGAAGACAACAGTTTATTACGGAGGTGCAGGGGTGTAAGCCACGATAGTCATATTTTAAAGTTTTCACATTATTAAAAATAGTAATACAATTGTTATTTATTATTAAACGCTGATATAATCTTTATGTGTACTACTACTACAAATGACTGCAAGTAAAAATATGAAATGCCTTGATAATAGTACTAAGAAAATAATACTGTAAATTAAATTAGTACAGCAGTACTACGAAGCCTAAAACAGCATTCTAAATTCAATAAGTACTAAAGTTTCGATTGAGGCCGAAATAAAAGTCCCCAGAGCCTACAATTTTTTTCAACAGCTCCTACGACAATATAGTACGTGTGTGCTTATCGGCGCCTTTTAATTATGCTAACTAACGCGTACACAGGCAGCGCCCTTTGCGTGAGGTGGCGAACCGCAGCTGAAAATGAGAGCGAAATGAAATTTAAACGGTGCAGTTAAGTACGATGTGTAGTCCACATACAGTAAGTACAGCACATAATATCTGTTTTAGCCAATGGGGGCCGCCTTCGCTGCGCTCGGTAGCTTTTTAGCGAATCGAGGCCGCCTTCGCTGCGCTCGGCAGCCAGTAGAACGCGCGTATTTGCGTTACATTTTAGAACCCTACCCTCGGACGGACTGACAGACGCACACCAGACTCCACTAGGTGTGTAAGACTAGCCGTTCGCCGCCGCTACGCGGCGGAGTGGCATGGTTTGTTGGAGATGAGGTGGCCGCAACCTTAGTGCTTCTTGGTGTCGCGTGTTTTGAGAGCGTGGTTCACCCCGTAGATCTTGGCATCGTGTATTTAACCAATTGCGTTTCCGTAGTCTCATTCGGCCCCGTATAATATCGTGGTTTGGAACATTTCTGTTACCCCGTACTACAGGTTGGGTGTTGTTTTCTTCAATGGCCCATGCTCTTTCGTGCTCTTCCCGGCTTCGAGGTTCCTGCTCACCCATGGCCCACGCTGCTCAGCGGTTCTGTCCTCTCTCTTGTGGGCTCATGCTCTTTAGTACGGTCTTTTCGTTAAAGCTACCTGTTTTCCGTTCTCAAACGTTTACGTGGGTTGCACTGGCTTCGTGGTAGATACTATTTCGTGACCGTTGGCCTCCCATCGCCGGTACTCTAACCAACGGGTGCTATTCCGTGCTTTGGTGCCTCCATGCAGTCGTGTGGTTCCATCGCCCGTGCATCGTGATCTCCTGATGAAGTGTCATCGACCGCGGTATCACGCTATCGTGCAATCGCGCTGTGGTTATGCTTTCTATGGTATTGTGCACGTGTAGTGCTTCTGCGTTGTACGTGTTATCGTGCTCTACGATGCCATCGTGCTCCACGGTGTGTAATCGTGGTCATACCAAGCCCACCCCCTGTGCATTTGGTGGGCGGTCCGCAGTCCGTGCAATCGTGTTATCATGTACTGCTGTCCTCCGTGGCTCGGTAAGCTCAGGTTCTACACTGGTATGGTGCTCCGTGACTCGGTGGTTTCGCGTGGCAGCGTGTTCTCCGATGGTTTAGTGGATAACCCACCGTCCATGCTGTCGTGTTATCTCTGGTGTCGGGGCTGGGCTGTCGTCTGTGTTATCGTTAGCTACCGTAGTGTCGCGCTCCGTGGATCGGTGAGCTCATGTTCTACCTAGGCATCGTGCTCCAAAAATTGATGATTTCTGATTTTCCGTATCTGGCCTCCTGCGGGCTCAGATTTGGTCGGTTGACTGTGCTCCATGTTTACTCGTGGTGTTGTTGGAGTATTGTTTCTGTGCACTCTCACCGATACGTGTTCTACCGTTATCGTTAGCTACCGTAGTGTCGCGCTCCGTGGATCGGTGAGCTCATGTTCTACCTAGGCATCGTGCTCCAAAAATTGATGATTTCTGATTTTCCGTATCTGGCCTCCTGCGGGCTCAGATTTGGTCGGTTGACTGTGCTCCATGTTTACTCGTGGTGTTGTTGGAGTATTGTTTCTGTGCACTCTCACCGATACGTGTTCTACCGTGGCTTCGAACGTCCGTGCTCTTCCGTAGCCCGTGCTTTTCAGCATGCTGGGGTGTCTATGTATTTAGTTCCCTTCCGTGGCCCGTACGTTCCTGTCATGTTCTATCCATCTGTTCTTTTCATGGCTGCGTGCTCTTTCATCTTTCACGCTACTTATAAAACTTCGTGGTTTGCATCGGCTAAGTCTTCTATCATCGTCCATGGCCTTCCGTGCTTCGTGTTGCTCTTCTATCCCATCGTGTACATAGTGTAGGTCGGTATTCCTTCGTGTTTCGTGTCCTTGCTTAGACATGTGCATCCGCGCCAGCATAATCACAAACGCTGTTCCCATTTTGTTTGATGTACACAACGTATATTGTTGGAAAGTTCACATAATATCTGAAGGTCGCACACTACGCGCGCAAATACAAAGGAAGACAACAGTTTATTACGGAGGTGCAGGGGTGTAAGCCACAATAGTCATATTTTAAAGTTTTCACATTATTAATAATAATAATACAATTGTTATTTATTATTAAACGCTGATATAATTTTTATGTGTACTACTACTACAAATGACTGCAAGTAAAAATATGAAATGCCTTGATAATAGTACTAAGAAAATAATACTGTAAATTAAATTAGTACAGCAGTACTACGAAGCCTAAAACAGCATTCTAAATTCAATAAGTACTAAAGTTTCGATTGAGGCCGAAATAAAAGTCCCCAGAGCCTACAATTTTTTTCAACAGCTCCTACGACAATATAGTACGTGTGTGCTTATCGGCGCCTTTTAATTATGCTAACTAACGCGTACACAGGCAGCGCCCTTTGCGTGAGGTGGCGAACCGCAGCTGAAAATGAGAGCGAAATGAAATTTAAACGGTGCAGTTAAGTACGATGTGTAGTCCACATACAGTAAGTACAGCACATAATATCTGTTTTAGCCAATGGGGGCCGCCTTCGCTGCGCTCGGTAGCTTTTTAGCGAATCGACGCCGCCTTCGCTGCGCTCGGCAGCCAGTAGAACGCCCATATTTGCGTTACATTAATTAACCCTAGCCCGTTACGGACGGACTGACAGACAGACACCAGACTCCAGTAGGGGGGTAAGATTTGATTAGGGAAAGGGGCTCTGTACAGTACATGTACTATACATACCAAGCCTTCTTTCAGGGCCATAATTGTAATAGCTCGTGACAAATTACAGTTTTTGTAGCCATTCGATTGAAAAGAACTGTGGCGTCATGCACCAGAGTGGCCAAGCGTGCAGCCGAGTGTAGTTGACTGCATTCGCCCCCCCCTCTCCCGTGCGTCGAGGATGTATCATGTGGCGGAGATGGTCCGTGACGCCCGTCGCGACATGGCGGAGCGTCATGACGGCGGGCTCGTCTGGAGCACGCTGTCGGCCTTCACGCCCTTCCCATTCCTGCTGGCCCTGGGCGGTCAGATTTCCAGCAGCCTCGTGCGCCGCGCCCCCGACCTGGTCAAGCGTGCGGCCGGCGCGACGCGTGACTGTGTCGTGGATTCCGCAACGCAAGCGCACGACCGAATCGTGGAGCTACGCCTGACGTGCACCCGCACGGGCCAGTGGATGTTTCACCGCGTCAAGGTGGCAGTAGAGACTGCGCGGCTTCCGGTCCCGCTGTCCCCGCTACAGAGCCAAGTGGCCGTGCCCTTCTTGTGTGGTGTCGAGGGTTTAGCGCAGTTCGTGACCAGTGAGGAACTGCCGGAGCTCTACTTTGTGGCTAAGAATATCATGCGCCGCAGCTTCTTCTTGAGGCATTTGGTGCTGCCGCCATTGGGAGCGGCCGAGAGTGTAGTCAGATACGTTGTCATCTTTCCCAGTCGCATCGTGTTTCCGTCCAGGGCTGAAATCGAAGATAGGACGGACTTGTTTTTAGAGGGAAGTACAACACGCGTACAGGCGCTAGTGGAGCACTTGTACTCGGCCACAGAAGTACTGGATCAACATCTAAGTATGGTGCAGTGGAACATTTTGGGGCGAGGACCTTACGAGTCGCTGAGTGCTTCACGACGCAGTGAAGTAATCAGATCTGTTCATCAGAGGATGCGAATCATCGCGTCGCATTATAAATTGTTCGAATTCTTGGCCACCATCAAACTGCAAAATGAAATGCTCTATTCTGACTTGCAGCTCGAGTTCCCGGACGCTGGTGGTGTCCCTCTCACTCCGAAACAGGTTGCAGCTAACGAAGCACTGACGACTGATCTAGCGGAACAGGATGCGAACGCTTTCCCCATTTGGTTTTACAAGAAAGTTGACATCACCAGTGGGAACGGTCAAGTGTTGCCCAGTGGACTGAATGGACGTTGCCAATCAACCTCGGATACTAGCAATGCAGTCAGCCAGTCTACTAGTTCTGCTGTCAATGCCAGCACTACAGTGGTGTCGGGATCAGGCGGTTGGATAGAATTCCCAGCTCACGAGAGTCGTCGGCTAGAACGCAAACACCGATGGTATCAGCAACAAAAGACCAAGATTTCAGGCCCCGTGGGACCTTCCAGCGTCGTCTTAGTAGATGAAGGTCGGCATGAAGTAAACTTGGAGAGTATGCGAATGACGCCGGTGTATTGGCCAGCGCTGGAGGAACTTGTCGTGTGTCGTTCTCGTTGGGTCTATGCCCAACGCAATTACGGTCTAGCTCCATACAACGCAGAAGCCAGCGACTGTGCTGGAGAACGCTTTCGTGTATTACTTGGGGTTCTACCCGCTGGAGAAGCAGCGACTGATGGATATCGAGGCGCAGAAACCCGCGCGCCTCTTTAGCTCCCGTGCTGGTCTAAGTGAGGCGGTTTTGGCAGCTCGAGTTGAGAAGGACTGCACCCTTAGCATTCCTGTGGAAGGCCATTTGGTAGAGTTTAAAGGCTTGCAGGACATCATGCAGTACAAGCGTTTGCTGGCTGGAACGACGCCATTTACGAGTAAGCGTCGTGTGTATCGAGGAAACCCGCGTGTTCGTGCTGATCCCACTACCTTGCAGCGTTGGAAAGATGCCATGGAATGTGATCCAGCTACAGGCAATGCGCTGAAGATCACGGAGGATGACAAAGATATCGAAGAAGAGATTGAGCATCTGGTACTGATTGTACATGGAATCGGTGATGCATTGAAGACGCTCGATCTGATCAATGTCGTAACGTTACGCTCCATCATTGACTGCTCTACGACGCTGCGGGAGTTGAACCGTGAGGCGCTCCGCTCGGCGCATTTCGCTCACTTGAACGGTGAAGACGCTGACGATGAAACGAAGGGTGACAACAAAGAAAAGGCAACACGCCAACCGCGAGTGGAATTCTTGCCCATTGAGTGGCACTCGAAGCTGCACATGGAGGGTTTGGATCAACTTATCCGAGACGTGACACTGCCAGCCATTCCTAAGCTTCGTGAGCTGGCCAATGACACTGTTCTGGACGTACTATTCTTCATGTCGCCGCTGTTCCACCAAGTGATTTTGGACGAAGTGGCCAAGGAAATGAACCGTGTGTTCACACTCTTCCAGTCGCGTCATCCAGACTGGATGCAATCCAGTCGTGGGACCGGACGGAAGCGCAAGGTGTCAATTATTGCCCACTCACTTGGATCCATTATCTGCTTCGACATTCTCAATCATCAGCAAGTGTATATGCAGCAATTGGAAAGCTTACAATGCACGGACGATGAAGGAAACAGCGACGATGAAGATGTGATAGTGGAGAACGGCAATGAGGGCGAGAACGAGAACAGCACAAGTAGCGATGATGAAGTAGAGGTCGTGGTCAATGCTGTGACAACTGACAACATGTTTGGTTTCAACGCCGTTACGCGTCGGAGCTTGAAGTGCCGTTCACGCTCGATGTCGGAAATGTCGAGCACGAGTGGAACGTGGAGGAGAAATTCACCGCATTCATGGCGCCAAACATATCAGGGAAAGCAAGATTCAATTCGACGTGCCTCCTCCAAAACCAGACGCCCTGGCAGGAATAAGACAGCCACGGCATCTGGTGCTGTCCAAAATGGAGGAAGTGGTGCTGATCCACTGGTTCCGAAGCTTGCATTCGACGTGGAAGATCTTTTTTGCTTCGGCTCGCCTGTGGGTCTGTTTCTGAATGTGCGGGGACAGAAGCTCGATCGCGATTTCCAACTGCCGCGCTGTCGTCGATTGTTCAACATTTACCACCCGTACGACCCGGTGGCTTACCGTATTGAACCGATCATGAACCCGACGCGAGCCCACTCGAAGGCCGCGATCATTCGCACGTTCGAAGGCAAGCTACGTTTTCAGTACCAACTGCGCAACTCGTTCCGGGCCATGTGGGCTTCACTTCGTCAATGGCGTCGCGACTTCGAACGCCAAGTGCTAGCCGGAGCTCACAACGTGGGGCTGGTGGAAAGCCCTGCATCGATGACGCCGCTATCCGATGCCATTGCTGCTGTAACCCAACCGTATCAATTGCAACGGCGTCCGGACGAGGCACAGGACGAACGGCATAGAGAGGAACGAGAGGGCGATGAGACAGCAGAGGACGTCGCGGTCTTCGGTCGTATGTGTCAAGGACTCCCCATCGACTACTCGCTGCAGGAGAACGAGATCGAGATTGCGAACGAGTATTTATTTGCCCTCACGGCGCACGTCATTTATTGGAACAACCGCGACGCGAATCTGTTTGTGGCGCAGAAGCTCATTTTGGAACCGGCCACTGAGAATTGGCCCAGCAGAAGCGGAAAGGAGGCGTCGGTGGGGATCTCGCACGGCCAAACAACGAATGATATAATTACTAGCAGTAAGAATCTGCGCGATTCGCGCCGAG